AATTATTTTAGTAATAATAATGGTAATAATCAGTATTATTGATGCTATCATTGTTTACATCAATTTATTAATACCGATATTATTACTTTCAGTATTATAATTACTATTATTTTTTATTGTTATTATAATTACCAATATTATTTATTGTTATTATAATATTATTGTTAGTATATGACACAATGTATCAAACACATAGTTGTGTTACGTATTATTAAGAGATTAAGATTATTTGAATTAAGACTATTTGCAACCCGCTTAATTGAATGACAGTGCCATCTACAGGCAACAACCATGAGATTATAGAATGTACACTCTCTTCCATGAGAATTCCCCAGACACTGAACAGCTGGTTTATCCGAAGAAAGTAGAACTCAAATAATGTTTAGTCTCTTATGTATTTAGACTGGTTAATAAATTAAATTTGATTAAAAAAATATAATTCAAACATACACATGAAAGGTTCAGTCAACGCTCTCTGTACTTGACTCGCCCGTACAGGACTATCCTCTGTATTTGACTCGTCCTTGTCCATAAGAACTGTTTAAAATCGTCAAATACAGAGGAAGAATGTGGTCAAATACAGAGAGCGGTCAAATACAGAGAGGTTCAATACAGAGAGCGTCGATTGTTGTATGATAATTTATTTCATAAAATTTTTTGTATTCATAAAGTCCTTGCACACTTTTAACTTGAAATTTAAACTTTTCCCGCGCAATAATAAAAATTCATAAATAAATTAATTTTTTCAGGCAAAGCTATAACCATATGAAAAGTCGTTCGTTCTTTGATTTTAAAGCTTAATTCTGGATAAAAAAATAAAAAAACAAATATAAATAATGCTGTGAAGCGGAAAAGAATAGGAGTTACGGATAATTATTACGTGAAGCGTTCCAACACTCACGTAACAGGATAATTGGTAGGAAAAGATTGAGAAAGGATTATGGAGAGGAACCTCTTAATGTGAGTGTATAGAATATGCGAGAAAAAAAATTATTAGATAGCTCGGACTAGTGTTTTCCCCGTGGCATTTTAAATAAAAAATAGACAAATATTAACTTAAACAATTTATTTAT